TTCTTCGTACTTAAGCGCCCACCAGCGGCCGAGCGGTAAAGTCGCTGAACACTGGTAGTTCGGTCCGAGGTTCGATCCCGCGAACGGGCTGGCTGCATGGGTGTTTTCGTGGTTTTCCCCATGTGTAACGTGTATACGAGCCAGTTTCCCTTAGAAAGTCCTCCACGAAGGCATCCCTCCCCTTAGGCAGATAGCCCTAGTGTGCTTTGCCATAATTAAATACACACACACACTCTTCGTACTTAAACCATAAAATTCAGTTCAACGGCAATATTGCAAAATGATTTTAAAATGGGCATATCTTTAGAATTTTCGATACAGAGTCTTGCGTACTGGAGATAAAAATGTTTTTTTTTTCGTACAGTGTTGCCATTGTTCGCTTTGAAATCGTTGAATTTGTTATCAAAAATTCGTTTTGCAAAAGTTTTACAAAGTATGAACTAGATAATAAAACAAATGACAAATTTCAAAATTTTGCTTCCAGATGCCCATATTCGAGGTGGAAACGCATGTTATTCAAAATTTGATAGCTCTAGTTACTGTTGTTTTATCACAATGAGAGAAACATACATACATTTATGCAGATTCTTTATTATTTCATTTCCTTAAATATAATACAAGGCTGTAATACTTGGAGACAACAATTTGAAAAGTAAACCAACATTTAAAGTTTTCGAAGAAGCAAAATGCCAAAACGAAATTAATAGCCCTTATGGGCTAACGCCCTTTGGGGTAAAAATAATAAAATTTTAGAATAAAACGTTTTGGCAACAGCTTATCATTTGAAATGAGATATATAGTCACGACGTTTAATAAAACATGTTGTGAAATTCATCGTGTTAAAATTTCCAAGTGCAAAATAGACATCATTAATCGGGGAGGTAAAAAACTGTGAATTATAACTTCTACATGAAAAGAAGACTCCAAATGAATGCCTGAAAAGGCGTACTGTGTCTAATGTTGTCAAAGTTAAATAATTAATAATATGAGAAGACCCGCCGATACAGAAATCAGTTACAGAACCTTTAACTACCTCTCTAATAATAAATAAAATAATAAACCAAGATTTACAGCTTAAAATAGTTTAAAAACATAATGTTACCAACTTTTGCCTAGGCAGGTGGCTCATCGCAAAACTGTTTGAAGACCTCTGTACGAAAACTGTTTAAAAGGAGAGAAATGAAATACAATATGAGTTTATATAAATGACTGCAAAAAAGATCTATTTATTATCGGCGGAATGAAGAGAAAAGTTGTGTAAACCTGGTTCCGTCAATGCAAAGAAAGTTTCAGTAAAAGGCTTTCGACTGTCGCAAGATCCTCTTACAATGGAAAATTTAAAATAAGAAGAGTGCAAAAGTGTTAAAATAAACTCAACGTAATCATGAGAAAGTTTTGCGCCTGATATTTTCAGAAAAAAATCCATTTCATTATTCCAATGACTTTCAAAGAGTGAAACTTAATGAAGACAAATCAACAAATCGTACTTCAAAACGATCACTACATTCTTTGAAGCATTGAAGATTGATACTTGTATAGCATATATATATTTCAATGCATTTCTTCGCAGTCTTCTGATATTTAACCTATGGACTATTGTGCTTTTTATCGTTTGAAATGAGCTCTTTCTAAGAGCAAAACCATCACAACTGATGGGCTCTGCAAAGTAATGAAAGAGAAACGGAAATCAACACCCCTGGAAAATTGATGAAAATCCCTTCTGTTGCAGAAATTACGATGTAGATGTATAGTCCAGAAAAAGGCTATTAGATCGAGCATTAAAAATATTATTTACATTTTAAACATTAATTAAATGGCCTCTAAATAGTTCTATAAATTTGTAAACACCCTCGATATTTCTTTTTTGAATCGTCTCTGCACTTATTCTCATTTTTTATTTATTATGGTAATCACTGCATATTATATCGTCTTTTATTATTATGTATAATAATATACTATGTTTATCACGTTTTGTTTTAATTTCTTCTAGTTTACTGTTTTCGGTTATATATATTTGGTGATAAAATTTATAGTATAAATGTATTTATAGAAGTTGCCTGAATTTACACTTATTCTGTAAATAATATTACTTGCATGGCAATCAAAAGAGTAAAATTATGGAAAATATATTTTAAAAATTTAAAATTGCACGTCTTTATGAGAATCATTTGCAATTCGATTGTTCTAAATTTCTGATTAAAACATATGTTTTAAATGGCACTGCAAAATTTCAGAATTTGTATTTATTTTATATTTCTTTGAATGGATACATTTTTATTTTTTGTGTGGCAAAAAGTATTTTTTTAAATCTCAAATATGCGCGAAGTCTATAAAAAGTCTGTGAAGTTTGCAGAAAGCGTTTGTCTCTGCGACTGTGGAACAAATTCTCTCACAGTCATTATTTTATAAATATTTAAGGATATGATATGAAAGGTTTATGGAAACACTAAGAAATTTTCTTTTCAGATTTAGCGTTTGTGTGTTTTAGACTGAAGTAATATTATCGCCTTTAATACGTATCTTTTTGTTATAAAGAATTCATATAGCAAACCAAAAATTCAGAAAATGTAGTGTATCCTGTTTATTTGTGCTCCTTTCTCAGCTCCTCCTTCAAAGATATGATTTAAAGACTAAATTACAGGTGTTTAAATGTTTTACTAGCAAATCGTGCAGCATGCATAAATTAAAAGTGATTTGTGATTTACTGAATACACTGGTTTCGAAAATGTTGAGCAACAGATTGAAAACTGCGATAAATCGGCTAAAATTAGTTTTAAATTCATGAAATTTGGATATGTTACAAATAAAACCAAGGTGTATCGAGTAGCATCATGCAAAAGAGTAGTGCTGCCATCGCTTTATGTAAATACAATGCAGCTGAAAAACAGCTGTTTAGTAGGGAATTGCTATTCATTAAATGACAACACATTAAAAATTTCGATACTGCCATTTCGATACAGAAATAAGTGTAAAAATAAGTTTGAGGTGACACTTACCAGAAAAATTGCGCTATAGCGCCATAGACCGATTAAAAGTAGATCAGTGTTATTCTGACGTTCTAATGTGGTTAAATGTCCACCGTTCCGCGGTAAGCCAGCTGTGGAACCAATTTCTAACTAATGTTTAAGCCTTTCAAAGACCTATCGACTATAGGCCAAGAGTTACCACTTCTGCAGGTAACCAGTACCTGCGAGTTAATGCTAGTAGAAGCATGACAGCCATTCCATCTCAGCTTAGATATGCAAATATTTCTGCGACAAGAATGATAGTATCAGCAATGCCAGTAAGGAGAAGGCTGCATGAAAGAGGTCTAACTGTTAGTCACCGGTACTCTGCGTCCCCCTTACCTTCCGCCACCAGAAAAATAGTTTGAATTGGACAAGTAATCATGTAAACTAGATAGAAAACCTATAGAGGTTTGATAGAGCGACTTTCGATGTGTTTACACATGGAGAGAAGCAAACACTCAATTTCTTCCGTCTAACATACGGAATACCTGGAGAGATAATGTTTTTGTATGGGGAATAGTATCTTCATTTAGAGACTCGTATGGGCGGCCACGTGGAACCCTCAATTCTAAGAGGAACTCTCAATTCTAAGACATACTATATACGAATACTGCCGTAATTATGATAACTTCACTTTGCAAGCAGATAATGGCCACCTCCCACTTCTTGTCTCGTGCACCAATTTCTTGAAAAAGAAATTATATTCCAAATGGAATGACCAGCACGCTTTAGGGCCTTAATCTCATTGAACATCCATGGGACGCTCTCGGGAGACATACTGCTAACCTCTAACTACCTCTGTAACCCTAGATTAGCTCAGAGTTGCTATAAGTGACCAATGAGTATTGCAACCCTTGCAGGTCATTGCCGATATCAGAAACATCATGAAACACTACTGTCAGGCCTGCAAGTGTTGTTCGGAATAATCATACTCAGTAATGCGATTTTTTTTTGTATTTAGGTTGTATGTCTGAGTATAGAAGAGTAGATTCCTGTTGATATTACAAAAGGTAAGTGTTTTGCATAACATGTTCTTATATTTTAAATTTACAAGTTGTATAATAAATATTATTCCGAAGTTTCTCCCAATTTGCTTGCATAATTTTAAAGTTATCACTAGTTTTCGTTTTCTGCTTAACTTTTAGAAACCAATGAATTTTAAGAAAATTGCATTCCCTAAGAATGCTAGGTTAGGCATTAGATTCGGGCTAATTTCCTTTACGAATGTTAACTTCGGAGAGAAATTCTCGAAAAAATGCCAGGTTGTATACTTCACTAGCAAAAAAATTCACCGAAGCATATATGAAATCAGTGATTTGTTACTAGCATTAAACGCTGCGTTACCAAAATCATTAAGAGGGTATTTTTTTTCTTAAAGGATAAAAAATGTGAGAAATCTGTGAAGGAAATAATTAATTATCCTGTTTAATAAAATATATTGTTAAATTGGACAATGTTTCAGCCCTTATTACATTTTCGCACCATATTTGCAGATTTATGTAAAACTATTGAAATGGCGTAATATTTTGGACAAATCAATTATTATAATAGAAATTCAACTTTCAAGAATCAGTGAGATTGAGATTTATAGAGAGAATTGAAGATGAATTTATTTTGCAAAAAACTCGCCGAAAAACAAGTTCGATTACAACTTAAATTTCAAAGCCGCAAGACAAGTAATGATTTTAAAAATTCTCGTTTTTTATTTTTCGTATCATTAATTTTTATCTGCCCCAATACACATTGCAAGGTGAACATCCATTCGCTTTACTGAAGCAAGGGAAGGGAGGAGGAGAAAGGAATTTTTCGAAGAGGGTCGAAAGGAAATGAAAAACAAAACAAAACTGCAGTCATCGCCAAAATGAAATTTCGCCAAGCATTGGCGAGTTAACGTGAAATATCTTACATAGCAACCCTAATTGAGGTTACAATGGGCCTCAGCAAAGAAGGAATCCGCTTTTGCAAGGATAGACGAAAGTGGCAATGGTTGCATCTTAAAGACACATCGCTGAACTGGAGAAGCGGTTGTTTTCCGAGATAAATTCGCTTTTAAAATTAATTCTCTTACACTCTGGCGTGAAAATCGCGTATATTTATATACTTCAAAAGCAATTTAATGGCAAAAGAGGACACTGATTTGGAAGATGTTGGCTCTAACTGAATGTCTATACATCACTGCATCATAAAATGTTGTTTGAAATAGAAATCTCCGGGAAAATAATAAATTACACGTAAACAATTCAGGATAGGTGAGAAATATGCTTAGTTCTTAGAAATAATTAAGTAACGTAAACGTGGCATGGGCCTTAAAACTGAAGCTGTTTACAAGAATTTTGTGGTACTTTGGCGGAGGTAAAAGTAAAGCAAAGGACGAGAACAGTTATCTACAAAAATATGACTTGAAAAGAGAAATGACATTGATTTAATCGTAGTATAATCATTATAATCATTGATTGAAACAAAACAAAACATATCAGAATTCATATGAAATAATATTTCCTTAATAGGGAGGCAGAAAGAGTAGGATAAATTATTGTGATGATAGTAGATTATACATAAAGCAGAAAAAAGAAGCGAAATGAAAATGCTTGACTGTAACAGTAATTAGGAATTTTAGCTTACAAATAAAATTATGTTGAGAAAAAGTGTGAATTCCATTAATCTGGAGATGGAGAAAGTGTGCATTGTGACTACTAATGATGAAGAGAAACTAAAGTAATAAAAATGACGTTTATAGTGCTATGGTTTTGTCTGGCCTCTTTCCTTTCCGTGCAAGGTAAGTAAAATGTTTTTTCGATTGATTTTGTGATGCCATTTGTAAATTAGCAAAAATGAGCGTTATTTAATTTCAAAGATACCGGAAATTATCAACAGAAATTGACATAGATAATTCTTAGTTTCTGTAGCATTAGTTTCATTTGTGTGTTCTTTTAATGCTGCTAGTATTTCCTTCCAAATAGTTTAAATTAACAATGTGTAAATAAGACTTTAACATGTAAGTTTTTATGTTTTCATGCTAAATTATTCGTAATTTGACCTTTCATTAGAGAACTGTTAAACTGCATAAAATTACACCACATGTCCCCGCTTTTTTCATGAAAATAAACATAGTTATGAATAATTATTTTAAACTAACACTGAATACTTTGAGTTAGAACTTTAAGTGTACTTTAGTACTATATATTGGAATTAAAATTTTATTTTTAGAATTTATCTAACATAATTTCATTCTTTCTAAAAACGGCAAATAAGCCTCATTCATGAAAGAAATCAAAGTGTTTAGATGAATCTTCTCTAAAATACTTACCTCTATTCAGCTTAGATTGACATTAAGTTTTACGGGAAAACGTTACAACTCTCGAGAGAATCGAACTCAGGTCTACGTTTTCCATTGGACAGAAGTGATGTCGTAGCTCTTCTAAGATAAAAGAGGCCTTCTGACAGAGAAAATATAGTATATATATATATAAACTATATATTCTACTATATTTGAATATATAGTATATATATATATATGTATGTATATATAATATGCCCATCTCTCTCTCTTTCTATATATATACTATATATATATAAATGTTGAAATGGCTTATAAATTTATTAGCCTAAATTAATTTGGATAAAATTTTGTCCTGGAGCATATAAAGGACATGTAACATTTTTTAAAGGGAATTTTGTGAACCGCTGTGTATTTGGTAAGTATAATATAAAACTGCCTGACAATTCATTCATGACACAAAAATATCATATACTGAGTCCAGTGTTAGACCACTGCAATTTATTGTTTACCTAGGACTTTGAAAAGTAATATTTTCAGCTGCGTATCATTTCGTTCTTTTACAGACATCCATATGAAACGTTAGTGCATGATTTCATTTCTGAAAATTTAGCCGAAAAGCTGAAAGTTACAAAAACATGATTTTGACTAAAACCTTTGATTCTTTCTAGCTTAACAAATTGTTCATAAATTAAAGATTTATTTACATACATTTATCAAAAATCGATAACTCTGTTTTGATTTTTTAGACTAATATTTATTACATTTTAAATCATTTTAGAACATTTATAATCCAACGACATAAGTGTGCTTAATGTAATGTTTTGGGATGCGGTTCATATAGCAAATGAGATACTTTTGAAATTTAAGTGCAGAAAAACAATAACAAAAATAATGAAACATGCACGTAAAAATGAGAAACCGGGCGTGAAGATAATCATTTTCGACCACTAAACGAATTTTCAAGTATGAGACGTTAAGCGAAGAAATACACTAGGGAAGTTTTACTTGCATATTTCTTGAAAAGTTAATATGTGTAGCATTTTGCATTCTTTAAAAGAGTTATTAGAAATAATAAAACAGTTTACAATAAAATGTTTAAAAAGGTAAGGAAAATGCTTATATATAATTCTTTTCGATTACAATTGTAATGATCATATTTATAAACAAAATTTGTCAAATAGCAAACCAAAACAAAAAAATAAGTCGAAGCTATATATAGCTCAATAAAAAAAATAAGGAAGATATATCTCATTTTTGGTTTGTTCAAAGTATCCTAAATTCAGAATTGTAAGCAGAAATACAGATGTAAAAAATAATAGCGTCGTCTTTTTCGGGATCAATAAATGTTAAGGGAAGGAGTAAAGCGGTGAGAAGACAATGCCACCGAAAAAAACATATAGCATTCGATTGCATATAAACAGTTTGCTGTCTATTGTGAAATCCTTCTTTGTTTGCTCCAGTTACGGTAGGAAAAAGGGAAGCCGCAATGTTAAATAAAATGCGCATAAATTTTCACACCCCAAACCTGAATCCATTGAATTCAAGATAATTTTGATGCTCCCTTTTTTTCTGAACCGAGCGTGAAACTCGTGAATAAATATGAAGGAAGACTTTACACGAATATATATTTATATATACATATAGAAGGGCAGATATTCGATAGACGCATCGTTCAGTTTTATATCTACTTTCATTTTTCTTCTTGTGTCTAACTATAAATCTTGTAACGTACATGATAGTATGTAACACGTGTGTTAGGCTAAATATTAGTTTTGATACATGTATAAACATTGCTGCTAACTGAAAATGTATGCACAATAAAGCTTCGTTTGCTTTAAATTGCGTATCGTATAACAATATACATCTAAATTAAAATTAAATGAATTATTCGATACAATTACATAGTCAAAAATCACCTTGCTATTAATATTCTTGTGCAATTTATAAGGCTAATGTCTAATCAGTTTGGAATAAATTTTACAACTTCATTTCTTGCATTGATCCAATATACATACGAGATCGATAAGCCCATTTGGTGCAGATTAAATAAATTCTTTGTAAACGGAAAGAAGCTTAATTAAATTTTCTACGGGGAATAGAGTTCGAATATTTTTATATCGTTAGCCGCATCTGTGACGTTAGCATTGAAATAGTTTCATTCAGGGCGACATTTCCATTTTAGGTCAGTTTTTCGTCAAAGATGAGTCTATTAAGAAATTATTCTATAAAGAAATTAAGTTTTTAATACTTAAATGCATTAAAAACGTATAAGCATGTTTTTAATACGTTTAATTGCGGAAGTAAATTATCATGGTTAATACTTTTTCTAAGATGAATGGACGATGTAGTCAAATATTTCTTTAGATCGTGAGGCAAATTGACTTGATACAAAGAGGATTTTAATTTTTACTAGCAGTATTATTTCGAATAAATAATAATATACATAATAGCATATTTTGGCTAGGACTTTGCAAAATAGAAAATGTACTTTTGTCTTGGAGGTATGTTATTATTTTTATTAACCAGTTATGATTTCGATCTTCACTATTACTTTTCTTTCTGTTTCCAAACCCAAATGCAGATTAGCTCGCGTATATTTAAATTGAGAGTTTTAAGCTGAAAGACAGAGCGTGTTAACAGACCGTTACTAAATGTCTGCTAGCTCAGATACGATCTGTTGTCTTCGCTCTTGCATTATAATCACCGATATTTGAATATCTAAGCCAGTTAGGCTGTGAGACAATTTCGCGTTAAACTGAATTATGTAATCTTTGGCTACTAGCTTATTTTAAACTTTATTATTTGAACTTACTGTTATATAAGTTATCTCGCCCAAAGTGCTGGCTGAATTCTGAGCACCAAATGTGACTTCTGTTCTTCTTTTGTTTTAATAAAAGAGTCTTTTACACCCTTTATAAGTCTCATTTGTTATTTTAGACTTACAATAATTCGCTGTCATTTTATCTAAAGTTTGATTACAATTTCTGATAAAGACTAATTTTTATAGTCTTAACGTGATTGCAATTAATATGCGTCACTTGTAAATTAAAACTACAAAATATTAAATGTGAGCTTTGCGTTAATTAAACTATGTATATTCAAATACTAACTTTACCTTCGCTTACATATGCTAGCCCGAAATGGAGTTGGAAACATCCCAAACACTGAAAATGTCAATAACCGCTAGCTTAAAATACACATCATTAATCATTTTAAGTTTAATTATATTAATGTTTTTATCTTATCACTCATTTATCAACGTCCTTTTATCAGAATTCGTAATTATAAAAATATACTTCAAAGCATCATTGAAGGGGTTCTGATATTTGAAGTAGCTGAATGCTGAATCATTAATTTATATAAAAACATATAGATAAATCTAATGAATGAAAAATACGATTTAGTTATTTCTTTTCGGTAATATGTAATAGAAGGATTTTTTTCATGCATAATTTTTGTCAGTCGCGTATCGAATTTCAATAACAGTAGCGCAAAATCGATCATTCCGTTTTGATGTTGTAACAGTAATACAAACAATTACTGAGTACAAATGTACCGAAACAAATACTTGAATGCATTCCATCCCAAATTGCACATGCTATGTTATTTTTCCTCGAATGAGTCCGTATCTTTATCTACTTGTAAATTTGCTATCAATATGTACTCACGAACAAAGTTCATGTGTTCTTAATTAAATATTCATGGCTGAGAAAAGAAGTATTTAATAAGAATAATTTGAACAAAAACTAATTTAGTTACAATGATTATAAATTTGTAAACTGAGTACATAAAATCTTTTATGAATATACAAACTATATAAGTAGTTATAAACATTTTATGAATTAAATACATTATAAATTAAATAAATAGAAAGTTATACGTTTACGAATGCAATAAAAAGGAGAATACGTATGTGCATATATTGTTTTTAAATTACTAGATTTTCTGCTAATTGCAATGTAATTTTATGTTCTAAAAGGTAAACCAAGAATATTTTCTCTAAAATTGACAAAACATTTAGAATTACGAAAGATAAAGTACTCCTGTCGTAAGTTTGACAATAGAAAATTGCTTAACGCCTGTTAGTTTTTAAGAAATATTTGCTAGAGCACTTGCTTCTGTTAAGCACATTTCCCACTAACAAATAAAATACGAAATAATTTTTCATGTTTACTCCATTTACCTGGGGGGGGGAAGAAAAAAAAGAGACTTATTGAAGTATTTGTTTTATTTCGTGCAGCATTTATTTTCTGGAGCTATGAAATAAAAATTGCATTTATTTATGAAATATTACTAAATTAGAACAACTCTCAGAATATTTTGAATACCAACGAAAGCTTCTGCAATCGCGAAGATATGCTAGCAGTTTAAGCAATTTCTTCAATTTTTCTCTGGTTTAAATATTTTTTGTTTTAGCCAAAATGCTCGAGTTAAGCGGATTAACGCCTTGCAATGTGGTTTCACTGCGGACATTCTGAGTTTGCAGTGAAACGACA